TAGCTTCTCAAATCATTAGTGCTGGATTCCTAAAGAATCCTCATAGCACCCATAAGAGATCTTGTGGTTTTGAAAGCTCTTGTTCGCTGAGAAATTTATGACGTAGGACTGTGCTAAAACACACAGGATATTATTATATAACTAAGCAGCTGGGAAGATTAATCATGATTAAAAATAAAAGGGAAAACATAGTACACCAAGGCAAGACTGTTTAATGAGAAAACAATATTTATGCAGGAGAATAAAAAGACTTACCAAAGAACAATCAGGACATTCTATCTCCTATCTGACTCGAATGGCTTTACTGCTCCAAACACACAATTACACTTGAAATAATTTAAACATCTGCCTGGCGTGGTGGCGCACACCTGTAATCCCAGCACTTGGGAGGCTGAGGCAGGAGGATCGTTGCAAGTTCGAGACCAGCCAGGGCTACAAAGTGAGCTCAAGGCCAGCCTGAACTGCATAGAGAGACCTTGTCTCAAAAAGACAAAAAAAAAAAAAAGAAAAAATCCACGAGTACATACACAAGTACATGTTATGAGCCATCTGAGAAGTACTTACCTCGTACCATTCTTAAAGCCCAAACACCTTAACTGTGAGCTATGATCTCTCTGTAGCCTCGCCTTTCCTTCCCCATGTCCTGCCTCCAGTTGTGCGCAACAACTTACCCTCTTGGGTGCCATACGCATGCCCCAGCTATCACATCTTGGACACACACTTCCAGTTCATCCTGCGCCTATTAGGCTCAGCCGCCGTGAATATATTCCAGGGGCCACACGCCCACTATACACTGTGGCACATTCATTTGGGCCACCAAGGTCTGTGCAGCACCACCATGTCTATGGTAAGTTCTGGGGATTCTGTCTTGCAACCAAGGACATTTGGCTGAGTAGGGGAGAAATGTGCGAACAACAGTTAAAACATACTAGCACTTTGGGAGAAAGCGCGGCCGTGCTCCTGCAGCAGCCTCGAGCCATGCATCACTCGCTACCAACCCGCTATCCAGCAACTCTCTTTCGCCGCTGGTGGCCCACTCAAGTGCTTGCACAGTGAACAAGGAACACGAGTGCCTAGTCGGGCTGGGTGTGAGGTAAGTACTCACGCTAGGACCAGCAGCCAAATGCAGAGAACAGGTCCTGTCTAAAAGCACCAGAGTTTCTTGTCAAACGCCATGCCTGCAAAATAAAATATTCCTGCAGGCCTAATTTGGTTCAGGCTGTCAGGCTGTGACTTCTGTGTGAGAATGTTAGTAATATTTGCTATTTACTATATCTAGGTTATTATTCTAACTACTTTACATGTCTTACTGCCTTTGTTCCTCCCAAGCTTTGCAGCTGACATGATTTTGTGCATTTTACAGACTTGCTGAGGTTACATGCTGGTCAGGAAGGCAGAGCTGGGATTCAACCAGCTGGTCACACTCCTGCGGAATCCACTCTCGGAAGCAGGGTTTTACGTCACTGTACTCTATTGCTCTGTATCTTTAAATTTCTTTTCAGCTTATACTAAAGAATGTCACCTATTTAATAATCTATTGTGCTACTATTCCTTTTTACTGTTGAATAAACTCTTTAACTGGTATGTACAACAGAAAAATTCAAGCCCTCCTATCTACCTTTTCATTGTTCTATAAATATGGTCACATTCTCTACCACTTTTCTCATTTGAAGGGTCCTAATATTGAAGAAATAATTTTGCAGTTATCCAAGAAATGTATGTTCCCTAAAGGAAAAGGTAGGTAGAGTGTCCACACCATTTTAAATATTCACCCCTCATCTCCTCCCCTCCTTCTGACCCACTTCCAATACCCTTGCCAGTTCTGGGTGTGTGTGGTTTCTTGCTCTGTCCTCCTTACAGGAACAAACAGTAGCATAATGTTTTGTTTTATTTTCAATAACGGTCTGCATAATGTTTACAACTCTGTGGATCTTTCTGGACAAGCACTTAGGCAGTGTCTTCAGAGAAATCCAATTTGTATGAGCTAAAACAAATGCAAGAGTACGTAAGGATTTGCTGAAATGGGCAAACTATAAACTCCCAAGTCTTTGATCTTAATTCAAAGTGTTTCACTAGGCCAGAGGATGTGGCCACTTTTTATTCACAAGCTTTCCTAAGAACGCTGGACATTACATTCTGTTCTTTTTAAAGCCACACAAATTAAGAGTCTTAACACAGGCCAGCCCTCCTGCCTCCTGGCCTTTGTCTATTCTGCTCCTCTGGCCAGGATCTCCCCACAAGAACGTCCCCACTCTCTCTCCAAGGCCTGGCTCCTACCCAACCTTCCCGACGCGTTCACAGGCCACCTCCTGTGGGAACCCCTCTGTGACCTCCAAGGCCACTGAGTGCCCTCCTGTCTATACCCTGAGACCTCCTTCAGCTGCCTATTTCCCTCTCACCTAATTTGCACTTGGGATTTATGTAGTAATTACTTTTTAACCTAATCTGTACCTGAAATTTATGCGGTAATACTTATTTCTGAAAAACGTCATGTCCTTGAGCTTTTTACACTTGGCAGTATTTTGCTGTTTTTTTCACAGGTCTCAAGAATGGTAAAAATAACGGGCTTTGGGCTTTGGCACTGAGGTGATGTGGGTTTGGCATCCTGCTCTAGTACTAACCGCTGTGTGACTCTGAACTCAGTATCTGAGACAGTTTCATCGGCTGGAAGATAAAGACTTCCTTCCCTGAGGATAAGAGCAGGGAAGTGCAAAGCGCACAACCTGTCCAAGCTCATGTTCGGTAGGTGTTATCTACTATCACACTTCTCAGCAATTACTTAATTTCATCAGAAGGAAAGGTTTAAGCACAAAGAAAGAATACTGCGAATGATTAAGAACGACCCATGCTAGGCATGGTGGCACACGCCTGTAATGGCCGTTACTGGAGAGGCGGAGGCAAAAGGATAACAAGTTCGGTGCCAACCTCGGCAACTCAGTGAGAACATGTCTCAAAATCAAATTTAAAAGGAGCAGGTCCACGAGGAATGTACTTATGTATCACAGGCATACACTACTAAAAGCTACTACACGGCGGTGGTGGCGGCTGGGGATGGAACTCACTGTGAGTGTGCTTGCCTCTTGAGTACCAAAGAGCAAACACATGCTCCACGGTTTGTACCTTAATCACAGGCAACTTCACCTACATTTACATCGATGTGTACTTTGTATTTCATATGTGTTACCGGTTGCTCCCTACCTATTCATTACCAACACGCATCTAAAATAGTTTTAAATTTTATCTGATGCCTTTCAAATACTAATAAAAAAACCTAGAGTTTTGAGAAAAATAAAAAAGAATGTTGGCATCATCTTAGGGAGTATTGTACGCCAGGAAATTAATAGTACAGTAAATGCCATTGACTAAGACTACATTTTTTTTCCTAAGAGACTGGTAAATTTAGTTTATACAAATCTCTAAGCCATCAAATCTAAAATGGCTTAGAAAGTATTTTGAAATTACTTACTTAATATTAAGTTGGCTTCTGAGCCAGTAAAGAATCCAGTAAGCCAGCTGAGTGCTTAAGCCTCTCTGTTTAAAGACCCTGAGACAGGAACCGAGATGGTTAGTGACTGACTGCCGCCCAATTTAACCTGGAGGAGACCGGCAGACAAAGTAACAAAGACTCTCTCCGGCGAACTCCTCAACTCCAGGTCACTTAGACTCCCAAGAGGAAACATGTCCCATTTCCTTGCACTGGCCTTTGAAGACCAGCTAAAAGGCTCTCTAAAGTCAGAGAATTAAACAAGAGGATCAGCATCAACTGAAAGTACGCTGATTTGCACAACCACGCTTTACATGTGTTCAATTAAACACTAACTGATTTCTACTTGCTCTGTGGAGGTACCAGGGGGATGACAAGATGAATGAAACAATGTGCTCTGCCTTTGAAACACCCTCAGTTTGAATGTGCAAAAGGGTAATAGTTTAAGCCATTATGAACTCACGGTTTAAGGAGGTACCAACTCATACCTGGAAGCAAAGACTTCAGAAAAATGGGACAAATACACTGGAGACGTTAGGGCAGGAGACAAGACCACTAAAAATGCAGAAAAAAAGGAAACTGTGGCATAATCTTGGCCTTAAGGAGACTCATACAAATTCAAAATTTACCCATTTCTAGCAATGTAAATAATTTAAATTTTTCCCAGTTGGTATACATTTTATAATTTAAAATTTCAATTACCAAAATATTGCCTTATTTCATAGGGTTTTTAAGAAGATCAAGTGAGTAACACACACATATATCATACAGATATAGACATGTAACAGTGCTTATCACTGAGGAACTCAATGTATACTACTTTTAAAAAGTGTCTACCCCCTTACTGGATATTCGATGTAATACGGTTAATAAAAATTACAATACAAACACACGTTTTGTCAGTGCAGTTTTGTTCGTGACCATGAAAATGCTGCACCACAGACTGAAACGGTGGGGTTAATAAGAAAGTAAAAGCTTCCGGACTAGCCAGACCTAAAATCGAATTAGGGCCCCAGCTCTTACTTGCAGCTGCCTTACCTTGTTTCATCACCATGGCTAAATTTTCACACGAGGTAGTAAAGACTAAATGTTAGGGATATAAAGCCCTCAGCACAGTGACTGATGCTCCCCAAAGGCTAAGTTCATTCCTCATGATCCCCAAATGAATGCATTCTCCAGCTATTCTGAACATGGGAGTTTTGGCTGTAAATCCCAGGGCTGGGTTGGCTGGCTTTTCCTTTCCCTTCCCAAGGGTAAGTGAGGGAGAGAGGATGACATTTTCTGTCCCTTCCAGGGGCTCCGAATTCCCAGAGATGCCACAGGAGCCACTGGCTGGGCTTGTGGTGCCCAATGGCAAAAGTCAGGAGGGTATCTAGTCCCACAGCAAATTCACAGCACTTCTGAGAGCCGCACAGCACCCACCCACGAAACCTTTTCTCCTTCAGGAAACAGATACGGTATCTGTTGTTTCTAAACAAAATCCCTAACTTTTGTAAACAAATAAATTGAAAGTAAATTAATATCTGTACCAGGAAGTTATTTTAATATCTTTTTCTCCATGATTGAATATATAAAGATAAGGGAAGTAATGTATTCTTCTGCTGTAAAGATGGGTGGAATACATCAAAATCCACTTGTTGAATTTTCTTTAAATAAACCTCTAGGGGAACCTGAAAAAAAGAACAGCAGTTACTAGATCACTAAAATTGTCTTTCAAACAAACTAGAGAAAAATTACCAGTATTAAAGCTATTTTATTTCCCTGAGATGGTATTTTACACAGTAAGAATTTAAATGAGATTCAAAACGGGAAAGAGAAAATAAACTTCCCAAGAAGTTTCTTTTAGACCAACAAAAGTATCACAAAACTACTGCTGCAAATACCAAGCCTCTCCTAACATCATACATGATGTTCTGGCCAAGACAGAACGTCTTATAACTAGAGTCTGTGGAATAAAAATGAGCTGTTTCAGCTGGGGGTGTACGCAGTGGTGGAGCACATGATTAGCATACGTGAGGACCCTGGATTCAATCCCCAGCACCAAAAAAACCCCACAAAAAACGATGTTTTAATCACGGAAAAGAAAACATTCTTCCCACCACAAATGCAGTGTTCCATGAGGGAGTTCAAGTCGTCATTTTAAAAATTATTTTGTGAAAAGTTTAATGGGCCTGCATGTTCTTTCTAGAAAACATGATTTCTAACCAGGGAGAATAATCACAGGTCTCTATAAATGTCACCCCATAAATGTGACAAAGTTTTTACAGGGTAGAGGCAAGATGGAAAACACCACCGTACTCTCTTTTTTTTTTTTTGGTTTTCTGTAATATTTTTATTAATTTATAAATTTTTATTTTGGTTTAATAGCTTTTTTATTAAACAAGGAAGTCACTTAGTTTTGCACCCTGCGATTCTGAGGCACCACTCCCTTCTCAGCCATGTGCACAGCGCCCCCTAGAGTTCCACAGCAAAGAACCTGGGTGATCCCTGTAGATTCTTTAATATATATAAAAAAATAAAGAAAAGTATTGTACTTTCTTATAGATTTTTATACATTTAGAGGCATATGAGCAAATACAAAAATAACTGTAGTACCTATTTCCTAAAATCCTAATTGTACATGTATGTACAACAGGAAATAAAATATGTACATGAAAACACACAGCTGCTTTGTTTTATATTAGCAAAAGTCTTAAACATAAGCCAGAACTCTTCAACAACACCAACAACAAAAAACTGTTCGTAAGATACAATATATTGCGGTGAGATGAAGGTGGTACAGCTGGGCACAATACGGAAAAATCTTACAAACATTAAGACTAAGTATGTCCTAGAAGACATAAATAGAAAATTATTATAATTTCTGTATATATTTTGGAATAATGGTTTCCTAAACTGGCTACACATCAGAATTTCATGAGAACCTTCTTTTTAGCAAAACTTTTTAAAATCACAGATTCCCCTAGGAATGGCTTTTTCCTCAATCCCAAGAATCTTATTTAGTAAGAAGGATGAGGAATCTGTTTTTTAAAAGATTTATAGGTTATTCCAATGCAGCTAGCCCAGGGCAGTTCTGCAATCCACTTTCTGGAGCCAGTGCTACAATGTGGTGACATCGTTATAGGGGAAAAAAACTAAGAGAACCGGAAGAAATATGTTTTGGGCACTAAGTAGCCTAATAATTGTATCAGATACTTTCTCCTTTTATTCCCATCTTACCTGTGGGTAAACTGAGGGCCCTATGGCAACAAGAGGCAAAGCAGATTCAACCCACTGCAGTGTGGCTACAGAGTAAGTGGAATGACAACTCCACTCACCAACCTCTGGGGAACACATGTGACTGTCACCAAAAGTATCACATAACTTTTTTTTTTTTTGGTTTTTCTCCGGTACCGGGAACCGAACTCACAACCTTGCACTTGCCAGGCAGGCGCTTTTGCCGCTGAGCTAAATCCCCAGCCCCCAAAAGTATCACATAACTAATAAAGCTCACCATACAGGAGAGGAACAAAACCAAAAATTCCAAATGAAAGAACTGCACTGGGGACTTCATAAAATATAAAGATTATACACATCTGCTTCACTAATTATTTTAGCCTTCTCTGCTAAAGTACTTACCGTTTGAAGAAAGGCAGGAAATGCTTTCACAGGAACACTTTTGTGGAAGGACCTGGCCTAAAAAAAAGAGAAAAGGAAACTGGTTTGAGACATTTCTGCAAATAAACACTCTCCCCCTAAGCGTGAACACAAAGCAACAACAGCAGTTGAACAATGTGACTAGAGCCTCTCTCCAAAGCAAGAAAATAACTCATCTCCTGCAGTAGTTTCCAAAGCCAAAAGGACTCAGGAAACAGTAACTACTGTACAGTATTAAAAATTCTGTTCTTTCTTATGGATTGGCTTTGGCATTTCCCAACACCCTTACAACATCTCATAATAACTCTGACGGTCTAACTCTGTAATAAGGGGCAAATGAAGAGACACTTGGGTTAACAAGTCCCAGCACTGCCCGGCTTGACTGGCGTGACCTCCTGTTCAGATACAAGATCCTCTTCAGTGCTCTTCCTGCCTCTGTGCTCTAAACCTTTAACTCATTCCACACAGACAGGCCAAGTAATGTCCTTATATTATTACTTCACTTTTACTTTCTTTCACTCCCTGGCAGATCGTGTCTCAATGATTCATCCTGGGATTCGAAGACCCTCCTCCAATCTCATCTATCACCCGACTCCCTACTACTCTGGGCTATGAATCCCTGGTGCACTGAGGCCGATGCCCCCATCCTGCGCTTGCCCGGCCCGTTCTCATCCTGTGCCCTTGTATCGCCCCTTATATGGGAAGAGTACATACCACCTCCTCTCTCTTCAATCTCTCTGCAGCATGTAAAACTTTGCTATTCTCCCTCCCGCGGTTTCTAAGATACTGTTTCCTTTTCCTTCTTCCTAAGAAATGGCGCTCTCTCCTTGCACTGATAAATGGAGGTGGTCTCAAGGTCCCGTCCTGGTTCCTCTTGCCTAGATGTGTGTTCTCCTTGAGCAACCTCAAGGCGGTTCTCCATCTACATTCAGCTGTTTGTATGCGTGACTCCCAAATCTACTCTCTCCAGGCCCAACCTCTCTCAAAGGCACAATCTTTTATTCCTCATTAGCCCATCTTGCTACATGACCTCTGATGCCCCCAAATTCAAGTACAGAATGTCCAGCCGCCAGGCCAAAGTCTAAAGATCAGCATCAAGCACAGGACTGCTTTACATTGCATCTTTGAGGGGCTCCATCATCATCTGAATTCTAGGTGCAATCCTTGACTTCCCACCTTCCTGATTTGCCACAATCCGATCAGTTACCAAGACTCACTGATTCTGCTTCAGTTGTGTGTATAAACACATAAACATCTACTCTCTCTAAGTCACACTTTTCCCCTCTACGTGATCTCCCACACCTCAAACTCTCTTGTTTCCGCAGTGCTGGCAGTTTCCTACTCTGCAACACTAATGTCACCTGTATACCTGGAATCCAGCACTCACGAGGCGGAAGCAGGGAGACTGTTGAGTTCAAGGCCAGCCTGAGTGAGTTTAAGTCCAGTGTGAACTACAGAGTGAGACCCTGCCTCCAAAGCACTAATTTAGCAACAAGGAGATTATTTACTAGGGACAACTATATTACAGCAGGCAGAACAGAGCCAAATTAAAACAAGATGAGCAGTACCAGGACGGGGAGGGCCCTGAGGTGATGTGAGTTTACACCACGTATTCAACTGGTTTAACTCGGAGAGAAAAATAAGAAACGCAAGGGTCCACAGGCTGCTTGTAAACGCAGAAGGCAGTGTTAAGCCCGAAGAACAAAGTGGTGCATTCCCAGAGGTGGCAGACGTGAGAGAGGGAGGAGACGTGAGAGAGGGAGGAGACGTGAGAGAGGGAGGAGACGTGAGCAGCCCTGGCAAGGCAGACAGACCCTGGGCACTGAGCAAAGGAGCCCACCTGAGAAAGCCCAGGTGCGGCAACCAGCAACGAACAGGTGCATGCACCTGCTCAGGGAGGGAAGGGGAGTGTTTTGAAAGCGGGACAAGTTTACAACAGTCCCCGAGGTAAACGTTCTGGAACTCCAATGCCAAAAGGAGCAGACGCTGCCAAGGTAACAATACCAAATGGCCGCATCTAGAAATAGGAATTTCCTAAAGGACTGGGCAAAAAGCGGCTACTTACATGCTTTAAGTGCAAGTGCGCCTGGCTGGCAATGTCGTATACCACATCTCTCACATTTTTATCTTGGTTCCTCCTTAGAAGGGCCTCCTGTGAAACACCGTGCTAGGTGGGAAAGTGCACGTTATGTTAAGACGCTACAAACACTTAAAACGAACACAGCTCAAGCAAACAGGTGCTGCACAGACAGCACAGTACGAGTGTACAGTGCCTGTTCGTCAACCTGCGTGAGTGCGCATGTGTGTGCACGGAGAGAGAAAGACACATACACCCCAGGAGTATGCAACAAGATGTGCATTACTAACAGCTGTAGGTGAAACAAAACTACAAAACCAAGGAAACAAACACAGAAAAGTTTAAAGAACCTCATACAGAAAGCAGTTCAAAAAAAGAAGATTCTAAGCCAGGTGTGTGGCCGACAATCCCAGGACACTGGGAGTTCAAGCGAGTTCAAGCCCAGCCTGGGCTAAATTTAGCAACTTAACTGAAAATGGGGGCTGGGTATGTAGCTCAATACAAAGGCCTCAGTTCAACCCCCAGTGGATTGCCGCCTCCAGTAAAACTAGAACAGGCCAAGGGGAACCCAGGAATAATTCCTGAGATTGCTTGGGGGAGTAAGGCACCAAGGTAAAGCTGCGTCAGATGAGGTTTCCCAGACCTTCTTATTCATAGCTCCTCCAGACACCTAACATAAAAAAATATTTTCAGCACTATGGATCAAACCTATGCAGTACTCTACCACACAGCATATCCCCAGCTCTTTTTTTTTTTTTTAAATTTTGGGACAGTCTTGCTAAATTGCCCAGGATGGCCTCAAACTTGTGATCCTCCTGCCTCAGCCTCCTGACAGCTGAGGTTACAAACATGTACCATTATATCAGGTTCCGACAGATAAAATTCTGACTGGATAACTATTACAAAAGGAGGAAGAACATTTGCAGGAAGCAGTAAACATTCCTGTCAAAGCACTTACTGGAAGAGACTAAGCAAAGAACCAACAAATAACTTCCCATATTCCGGGGATGAATTCTGAGAAGTTACCAACTGCAGCCTTACCAGCATACACACATCCATGGGAAGGAACACTTTTCTTCTGCCACCATGGTAGGGCGTGGCTCTCAAGCAAGTGACAATGCCTTGTGCTTTTCCTATGTGACTTGCGGCATGATCTGCGTGGAGATTCTTTACACCTATGGCGCAGAAGTGAAACAAGGCTGCTGTCCTCTTTCAGCAATGCAGCACGGAAAAATCGCCTAATGACATACAAGTAGGTGTTTACCCTACGTTTATTTCTGAAGAACAGGATTTCCGTGGGGAAAACTGGGCTCCAGGTAAAGGTGATCATTTTCCTCCTAGCAAGTATCTGAATCGAGTTTTCCTCAAATACCAGCACACTGAGAATACTCAGCATTTTAATCAGCGGTCACGGAAAATAATGACAAGTCTTCTCTCTCTTCTCCACCGTGCAACTCCCTCATCAGCGCACCTCAGGCACTAACACTCCGCTCTCTGCCCGCTCCTCCCGTTACAGCGGTAAACTGATCGCAGACATGTGCCCTGAGGCGCAGGGAGGACAGTTCCAGAAGCTCAACCGGGACTTGTATTTCAGGGTAACCTAATGGTACCTCCTTCCAGGCAGATGGTACGGTCCTTGTCCAAAATGTTTTCCTCCTCAAACTAAGAAGTCGTTAATTTGGAATAGTCAGAGGAGGAACAGTACCATTGAATTTTTTTCCATGGACAGACTACCACCGAGCTACATCCTTTTCTTCCTTATACCAAGACGGGGTCTTGCTCAGCTGCCCAGGCGGGACTGGAACTTGAGATCCTACTGCCTCAGCCTCTTGAGTGGCTGGAACTAAAGCTGTGACACTGCCCCCAGTTACAATGTTTTTAAAAGAGGAGAGAGAAAAATCTCATAGAAACTTTTATGAATGCAGTTTTATTTTTCTACTTTTTTTTTTCTTTTACATGAAGAAATGTCACTGACAGAAAATCAAGTTAGGATATGAGCCTTTCAAATTGTAAGAGACGCTATAACAAAAAAAGAAAAAGTAAAGCTGTCTATTTACTAGAGCTTTTCCATGGAATACCTACAGTACTTCTGTGACAGCCCGAGTACTGTATTTGGAATGTCTGCACTCCAAAGATAGATACAGATACAGATATAGATACAGATATAGATATACAGATGCAGGGACAGAGATTCCCCTCTGACTTCTTTTTAATTGTCCCTTTATATATAGTACAAAGGCAAATTCCAGTGCTAACCTGTTCAGACTCAAAATTAGGAGGGAAATCTGAAAGGTATTTTTATTTGAAAAGAGAAGTATGAAACAGAAAAACAACTTACCCAATATTTCCAGTGTTAAATACAAGAGAGAACTCTGTGTGTTTTCAGCATAATTTTCAAGTTCCTGGATATTACGATATGCCTTGTCATCCAAATTTTTTTCCTACAGTAAAAGAAAATAAAGTTTGTCGAATGTCAATATTGTATAAAGAAAAGATGTTATTTTTTCCCTAAAGAACTAAATAAGAATAAAAAAATCAGCCAAGAATGGTGGTGACACCTGTAATCTTGGCATGCAGGAGGCTGAAGCAGGAAGATTGTGAGTTTGAAGCCAGCCTTGGCTCCAAAGTGAGCTCAAGGCCAGCCTGGACTATATAATGAGACCCTGCCTCAACCCTTCCCTCCAAAAAAATTTATCGTATTTGTCTACTATAGCATAAAAAAGATTAAAATAACATTAAAGCTGTGTGTGGTGGCACACATCTTATAATGCCAGCACTCTGACAGGCTGAAGCTAGCCAAGATCAAACCCAGCTTAGGCAATTTAGGGAGACCTGGCTCCAAATAAAAAATAAAAAGAGGGGGTGATATAGCTATATAGCTCAGTGTGAAGGTCCTGGGTTCAATCCTTTGTACTGCAAAAGTAAGTAAGTAAAAAATAAATAAAATAAAAAGACTACACAAGGGAAGCCAGGCCACAGAGCAATTAACAGGCTTGACTAGACCGCGAACTCAGTTCTAAGAATTTAGTACAGCATTCCACTCACTGGCACTGTCAGACTTTCTGCATTCCCTGTACTATTTTGGGTGAACCTGAAGGTATGTGAATCACTACTCAAGTATTTGATAGTATTAAGGAATTGTAAGTAACTTTTTAAGGTATGATAATCAAATTGTGGCTGTGTTTCTAAGAAGTCTTTATCTTCCTCAGATACATGCATGTGCAGGTCCAACGATATTCTGGGTTTTACTTTACGATAATTCAATGGGAGTTAGTGAGGAGTTAGAATACACATGAAACAAGACCAGACATATTTTGCTAACTACTAAAGCTGGGTGACAAGATACATGAAAACATGTTATTCTCTCAACTTTTATACAGGTATAAAAATTTCCATTTAAAAAACCTACACTAAGTTGGCCATGGTGGTGCATACCTGTAATCCCAGCGCTCAGGAAGCTGAGGCAGGAGGGTCACTGTGAGTTCAAGGTGAGCCTAGGCTATGTAGTGAGTTCAAGGCCAGTCTGAACTACATAGCAAGACCCTCAAACAAACAAACAAAAACCTCAAAACTATCCAGGCATGGTGGCAAATGCCTGTAATTCCAGTTCTCTGGAATACTGAGGCAGGAAGATCATAAATTCAAGCCCAACCTGGACAATTCATTAAGACTCTATCTTGAAATTAAATAAATTTTTAAAAGGGGTCTAATTTTTTGAGTTCTTTATCTATTCTAGATATTAGTCCTCTCCTTGAGAAATAGCTGGCAAAGATATTTTCCCATTCTGTAGTTATCTCTTTAATGTTATTTCTTTTGATGTGCATAAGCTTTTTAATTTGACATAATCCCATTTGTTGATTCTTGCCTATGCCGATACCTTCAAGAGTTTTATCTACTGTATCTTCCAAAAAATTGTTTCTGATTTATTTTTTTAATTTTTGGCTTTTTGGAGGCAGATTCTCACTATGTTGCCCAGGCTGGCCTTAGAACACATGTTGATCCTCCTGCTTCAGCCTCCTGACGGCTGGGATTACAGGCATGTGCCACCCACAGGCTCTGTTTTAATACTTAGATTTTTTATCCATTTTGATTTTACTTTAGTACATGGTGAGAAATACAGGTCTATCTTCAGTCTTCTGCATGTGTGTAGCCAGTTTTCCCAGCACCATTTGTTAAAGAGTGTACGTTTCCTCCAGCATATAGTTTTGGCTCTTTTGCCCTTTGACTACTGGCTGACTATATGTGGGACAGCTTCTGCATCCTCTGTTCTATTCACTGATCCACATGTCTGTTTTTCTGCCAGTACCATACTGTTTTTGTCACCAATCTTTGTAATATAGTTGAAATCCAGGATCATGATGCCTCCTGCTTTGTACCTATTACCAGGGATTGCTTCTGCTATATAAATTTTATGGTCCCATATAAATTTCATAACTATTTCTAGTTCTGTGAGGAATTCTGCTGGTATTTTGAGTGGGACTGCACTACTCTATCTATCAGTTTTGGTAGTATGACCATTTTCATAACACTAGTTCTCCCTAGCCAGGAATAGGAGATCTCTCCATTTTCTGATGTCTTCTTTGGTCTCCTTTTTCAGAGCAGTATACTGTAGTGTTTCACTTCCTTGGTTAAGTTAATTCCTAAGTATGTAATTTTTCTTGAAGTTATTGTGAATGGTGTTGTTTTCCTAATTTTTTTCTTGGTGAGTTCATTACTGGTATATAGGATCACTACTGATTTTTATTTGTTGACCTTATATCCTGTGAGCTTTCTGAATTTATTAGTTCTAAGAGTCTGTTGGTAGAATTTGGGGGGGGGGTATGTAAACCATCATAGTCTGTGAATAAGAATAGTTTGACCTCTTCGGTTCCCAGTACCGGAGAAAAACCAAAAAAAAAAAAAAAAAAAAGAATAGTTTGACCTCTTCTTTCCTACACATATCCCTTCTCCTTATTCTGATTTTTTTTTGGCTCATGTTTCAAGCACTATATTGAATAGGACTGGTTGATACTGGACATTCTGTCTTATTCCTGATTTTAGAGGAAAAGCTTTCAGTTTTCCCTCACTTAATATGATGTTAGCAGTAAGTCTGTCATAAATGACTTAACAGATTGAGATAAAGTCCTTCTAGACCTACTTTCTTCAGGGTTTTATCATGAATAGATGTTGGATTTGTCAAAGGCTTTCTGTGTCTACTGAGATGATCATGTAGTATTTCTTCTTATTTCTGTTTATGTGATGTGTTACATTTATCGATTTGTGTATTTTGAAACATCTTTGTAACACTGGGATGATGCCTACTTGTCTTGATGTCTCATCTTTTTAATGATTGTTGCATTCTGTTTGCCAGTATCTTGAAGATTTTTGCATCTATGTTCTTTAAAGAGACAGGCCTACAGTTTTTTTAATTGAGTCCTTGTCTGGTTTTGGAGTCAAGATAATACTACCAGTATCTTCCAGGAAAGAGTTGGGCAGTACTCCTTCTCTTTCAATTTCATTAGAGTTTGAGGAATATGGCGTTAGACCTTCCTTGAAGTTCTTGTAGATTTCAGTGGTAAATCCATCAGGTCCCAGGTTTTCTTAGTTGGTAGGTTTTTTTGTTTGTTTTATTTTGTTTCATTACTGTCTCAATTTCACTGCCTGTTCTTGGATTATTCAGTGTTTTTGTATCTTCTTGGTTCAGTTTTGGTAATCCATACATATCTAGGAATTGACCAGTTTCTTCTAGATTCTCCCATTTATTTGAGGGTACATTTTAAAGCAGTTACTAATAATCTTCTGCATTGCAGTGGCATCCATTGAATTTCCTCTTTTTTTTTTTGAGACAAGGTTTCACCATGCAGTTAAAGCTGGCTTCGAACTCCCAATGATCCCCCTGCCTCAGCCTCCCAAGTGCTAGGATTACAGGCATGCACCACCATGCCCAATGTCTTTTTCATTTCTAATTGCAGTTATTTGAGTTTTTTCTTGGCAAGACTGGCTACAGTTCTATCCATTTTGTTTATTCTTTTAAAGAATCAGCTATTCAATTCATTGATTATTTGTATGTTTTGAGTGTCAATTTCATTAACTTATGCTTTGATCTATATAATTTCTGTCCTGTACTAGCTTTGGATTTGGATTGTTCTTGTTTTTCTAGGACCTTAAGGTGCATCACTGAGTTATTTATTTGGGCTCATTTTGCTTTTCTGATTCACAGTTACAAACTTCTCTCTTAGGCCTGCTTTCACTGGTCCTATGGGTTCTGGTGTGTTCTGGCACAACTGTTTGACTCTAGGTACTGCCTAATTTTTTTGTGACCTATTGATTGTTCAAGAGTACTGCTTAATCTCCATGTTTGCATACTTTCTGTAGTTTCCTTTTTTTTTTTTTTTTGTCTTTTTGAGACAGGGTCTCGCTATGTAGTTCAGGCTGGCCTTGAGCTCACTTTGTAGCCCAGGCTGGTCTCGAACTCACAACGATCCTCCCGAGTGCTGGGATTACAGGAGTGCACCACCATGCCCGGCCTTTCTGTAGTTTCTTTTACCACTGATTTTTAGTTTCACTGCACTATATTCTGATAATATACATAGGATAATTTTAATTCTTTTGTATTTAAGCCAAGCTTTATGGGCCAGTATGTGGTCTATTTTAGGGAAAGTTATGTGCACTGCTGAGAAGAATGTGTATTCTGTTGTCGGGTGGGACGCCCTGTAGACATCTAGTAAATCCATTTGCTCAAAGCTATAGTTCAACTCTGATATTTCCTTTTTTTTTTTTTTTTTTTTTTTTGTCCAGTTAATATGTCTATTTGTGATAGCAGGGTTTTGTGGTCTTGCACTAAAATTATGTTGCTGTTTACTTGGTCTATTACATCCAGTAGTGTCTGTTTTCTAAAGGTGGGTACGCCAGTGTTCAGTGCATATATATTTACAATTGTTATTTCTTCCTGCTGAATGTTTCCTTAACTAGTTATAGTGACCTTCTTTGCTTCTTCCAATCAATTTTGGCTACAGTCCACTTTGCCTGAAGACATTATTACCATCCCTTCTTGTTTTGGAGCTCCCATTACATGGAATATTGTTTTATAATCTTTGCTTTTTAGTCTATGAAATCTATCAAAAAATGGGCAATAAAGAGAATAGGCATTTCTCAGAAGTACAAATGACCAATAAATACATGAAAAAATATTCAACATCTGTAGCCATAAGAGAAATGCAAATTAACACAAAACTGAGATTCCATCTAGAGAGAATGGCTAAACTCAAAACTCAAATAACAAATACTAGCAAAGCTGTCAAGGAAAAGGAACCCTTCTACATTGTTGGTGGGAATGTAAACTAGTACAACCACTACAGAATTCAGTATGGAGATGCCTCAAAAAACTAAAAATAGAAATTCATTCAACGCAGCTATCCCCCTCTTAGGTATCTTCCCCAGAGGTAAAGACGCCATACAACAGTGTTACATGCACACCCATGTTTACAGCAGAACAACTCGTAACAGCTGCCATGTTGGAAGCAGCCTCTATATCCATCAGCAGATGAATGGATAAAGAAAATATGGCATTTACACACAACCGGGTACTATTCCGCCACAGAGAAAGACAAATGAGCCATTTGTGGGAAAATGGGTGAATTTGAGACAATAATGTTAAGTGAAATAAATGAGACAGGCTTAGATACTGCAGGGTATGAGAAACTCAGAAGTACAAATAATTTAAAGAGCAAAATAAAATATAAATAATAGGAAACAGAGAGAGAGGTCTTTTACAAATAGGAATGAGATAAAGAGATAGAGGGAAAGGGAAGCAAAAAGAATTAAGATGTGTTATATACACATACTAATTCCCTATGATGAATGGCATCACACTACAAACATGTACTAATACAAATCAAAATAAATTTTAAAACAGAAAAGGGTAGTAAGGTGAGAGGAGGACTGCTGCAAGTTCAAGGCCAGCCTGGGCTACAAAGTGAGTTCAAGGTCAGCCTGAACTGCACAGTGAAACCTTGTCTCAAAATGAAAAAGGAAGAAAGAAAGAAAGAGGAATTGCTAATTATCTTGGCTTGATTGGTTCATGTTTTATGTATGTGTTGAAATATCACATTGTATCTCATTGATATGTACAATTATTAAATATTAATAAGATAATTAATGAGAGGAAGAAAAAATACAAAGGGGTAGGGATGTAGCTCAGTGTGAAGGTCCTGGGTTCAGTTCCTAATACCACAAAAAATAAAAATAAAAAACACAAACTAGTGACGTGTACTTGTGTACACGCCTCTGCCCAGGCTTCTGTCTTTGCTTACCATCTCAAAGTGACGAAGGAGAGGAAAAGGAGGTGGCATGCAGGGACAGAATACAGGTAAAACAGCACAGTCCTCATAAAGTTTCCTTCCTTCGAAATATTAATACACACACTGAAACATTTCTTCCCTGAAGACAGAGTTTAATGGTTAAAAAAGAAGAAAACACTTAAGACTTGGACAATTTCAACTTACTCGTTCATCAATGATTTTCATAAGCCATCTTTTAGTCAGATTATGTTTTCTGACAGCCTAAAAAACAAGAGTGTTAGAAATTTTTAGGAAGTACTAGATATGACTTCTCCAGATCTGAAAAGACAAACCAAATGCAAAACTAGGTAAGGGGACATCTGTAACAATTCATCACCACACAGACAGCTGTATTAAGTATCAGAGAAAAAGGAAGTATCTCTAGAAAATATTTCAAAATATTCAAGATACTATTTCTCATTCTTTGCCACTGTCTTTTGTCCCTGTTTTATTGTTGGTCATTTAACAATTCTATCTTCAAATAAAAACAAGAAATACTAAGTTTTTCTACTGTATAATGTACCCTACATGTTATATACAAACTTTGTCCCACAAGATAGTCTATTTAGCAAAAATAACCACCTCTCCAAAAGTGAAAGAGTAACTAAAAGTCAAATGAAAGTTATCTGCAGGGAAAACTGTGGCCTTAGCAAGTACAGACACTCTGGCAGGAAAGAGGCCACCTAGGATCAGAGCATGGTCTCTAAATTACTCCTCCCAAAGGACTCAGGGCTGTAGGGAAACAGGCTTTTAGGCGGAGTAAGGGGCTAGGCACACCTGTAATTCCAGCACCAGGAGGCTGAGCCAGGAGGATCACCAAGACTTTGAGGCCAGCCTAGACTAAACAGCAAGACTTTATCTCAAAAAAAGAGTAAGGCGAGGTTCCAGATAGTCCTGGACTATCTTACTGTGCCAGAAAACAAAAAGGTGCTTTTTAAAAAATGAAGGCATGTCATAAAGACCTAGAAGCCAATTTAAAGGGCTCCCACTGTCCAAATCTGGAACAGTCTGAACATCAAAATGACCAAGTACACTAATGAATTACAAACTACGGGGGAAAAACAAGAATTCGTAAGTCCACAGAAGACTTATGACTAACGGGAGTAAGAGCTCACTCCTCCAGAACGCCAGGTGCCGACCGGCAAATGCGGACAGAGTGCTGAGGGGGGAAACTGTCATTCTGCAACCACAACAGCAGACTGAATCGTACGAAGCCATCAAGGACTGCTCCGCAAAGGGAGGAGTTTGGATGAAGCGCAGGATAACTACACAGCTTTAAAGTACCATGGCCCCAAGCTGGGCATGGTAGCACACGCCCTAATCCCAGCACTTGGGAGGCTGAGGCAGTACATTCAAGGTCAGTCTGTACTGCATAGTAAGACTCTGTCTCCAAAAAAATAAAATATCAGGGCAAAGATGGCTGATTTGTTGCAAGAAAATACACATAAGAAAATCAGGAAACAACTTGACTGGGTTATACAAATCAACAATGCCAATAAAGGACAGATAGGGCCCCGGCACAGCGGTGAACACGTGTAATACCAGCTACTTGGGAAAATGAGGCAGCAAGATTGCAAGTTCAAGATCAGCCTGGACAACACAGCAAGACTCTGTCTCAAATGAAAAATTTAAAAGACTGGCTCTGTAGTTTAGTAGTAAAGCTCTTACCCAGCATGCACAAGGCCTTGAGTTCAATCCCCCATTATACACACACACACACACACACACACACACACCAGATGGATGAAGTGTCCCTCTAAATGTGACACTTTGAGAAAGGCATATCACTCATTCCAGCCAAGAATCCACAACGTAGATCTAGTATGGAGAAAACATTAGGCAAATCCAAAAGGAGTGTTCTAGGGAAGGAAAAAAAACGGCCGGGAGCTACGGTCTTTAAAAATGTCAATGTCAGGGTAGAAAAAAGCCACAGAAAAGTTCCAGATTAAAGCAAACTAGAGATACAACAACTATATTCTTGACCCTAGACTGGATCCTATACTGGAGGGAAAAAAGAATACTGTAATATAAATATGAAACTAGACAAATGTGTTATATTAAAGTTAAATTTACTAATGGTCAGCAACTATTCCAGTTATAAAAGAGAATGTATCTCTATTCAGAAATATGGAAATATTTAGAATGGGGTCCAAATAACTTTTAAAAACATTAATTTTTTGTCGAGTCCAAGCTAAGTACCTTTGCACAATAAATACAGTGGTGAAATGTAGTCTGAGAGATACCCTATACGTCACTAAACACTCTCAGGCGTCATGGACTCTAGAAGCAGTGCAGATGTATGTGAGGACGGCGGCTTTAAGTATGGAGGGCAGAGCCGCTCTGTCTGGCAGGCACCTGACAAGCTGACAGGGCTGACCGGAGTGAGCGCCAGGGTATTCTCAGCACTGCTACTGCCCCTCCCCTCACTGGCAGGAACCCCGCAGGATTTCCCCCAAGTCCCAGGAAGCAGGATCTTGGTGTATTTTCTATGTGTCCGAGAAGAACTCGCAGGTTTGATCTTTGTAAACACATCATCAAGCATGTTCCTGTCATGTAAAAGAACTTCCTATATACTTACTAAATGAGAAGTCAAACCCTTATTTACTGATGGCTCAAGCAATAACAGGTACAGTTCCTTGACCATAAAAATATGGGTCTGTTTCTGAAGGAAATCAGAGATCAAGGTAAAAGAATACTTTAAAAAAGCTAAATTATCTCCTGAATAAAGTATCGATTTTGGAAAATGAAGCCAAGTAGAATGAAAATCTTGGCTATAAAACATAAAATCAAACAACTACTAGTCATATGCAGAGAAATTGAAAATCCTACACAAAGTAAAGAAATTACAGGGGGCTGGGGATTTAGCTCAGCGGCAAAAGCGCCTGCCTGGCAAGCACAAGGTCGTGAGTTTGGTTCCCGGTACCGGAGAAAAACCAAAAAAAAAAAAGAAGTATTGTTTCAATTGTGGCAATATATTCTTTTGAAAAGTTTTAGGGTTTGTTTTATGTTTTGCTTTTTGGGTTCTGTGTTTTTGGTTTTGT